TTTGTCATTGTGCCCAAGATGCTGGTGGACCTGCTGGCTCAGAAGAAGACCATCTCCTTCCTGGGCTGTGCCATCCAGATGTTCAACTTCCTCTTCCTGGGCTGCTCTCACTCCTTCCTGCTGGCAGCCATGGGCTATGATCGCTACGTGGCCATCTGCAACCCGCTACGCTACACAGTGCTCATGGGCCATGGGGTGTGCTTGGGATTAGTAGCTGCTGCCTGTGCCTGTGGCTTTACTATCTCTTTGGTCGCTACCTCCCTGGTATTTCACCTGCCCTTCCACTCTTTCAACCAACTGCATCACTTCTTCTGTGACATCTCCCCTGTCCTCAAACTGGCATCTCACCAATCCCGCCTCATTGAGTTGGTCATCTTCATGCTGGGTGTATTGGTCTTAGTTATCCCACTGCTACTCATCCTGGTGTCCTATGTCCGCATCATCTCTGCCATTCTAAAGATCCCATCCTCTGTTGGAAGATACAAAGCCTTCTCCACCTGTGCCTCCCATCTCATTGTGGTAACTGTCCACTATGGCTGTGCCTCCTTCATCTACTTGAGGCCCAAGTCCAACTACTCTTCCAGCCAAGACACCCTGATATCTGTGTTTTATACCATCCTGAAAAATAAGGAATTCAAATCAGCCCTTCAAAGAACAATGAGCAAGACTTGGTTTCCTCTTAACTAAAGAATCAATTTTAAACTCTTACTAGTTATTAACTGCCAGGAAAATGTGTGCTTGCATCTATTTTCTCATTCAATTACCCGAACACGCTATAACATAAGAATATTTTTCATGTGAAAAGAACATTTACACTTTATTTAATAAAGCTAAGACATTCTGGCTTTCTCCCATTAATTCTTCTTTAAAAGTTTAAGAATATATGAAAAGAGTTTACTCAGTTACAAGAAAAAAGTTAATCACATGTAACTGCACAACATATTGATCATTTGAAACTGATTTCAGAGCAAATGTACATTCAAACAAATGAGAGTAGTGAGCACAGAAAAGATGTATGTTAAAGTGTCTCGTTCCACTGAAGAGGCTGTCTAGCTGAGTCCTCCCTTTCTTGAAGACAATGCACAACCTTGGCCCCATCAATTCTGCAACACACCTTAGTGACTCTTTTGCGCTTGCATTCACCACCTCAAACTACATATTGACCTGTCTTTATCTGTGCATTATCTTTCCTTTGGGACTGGAATATCCTGATGGAATCCCCCTTCTATTCATATATACATTTATATATATATAATTATACATTTATATATATAAATATATATGAATGAGACCCTTACTGTGATATATATATATATATATATATATATATATTTCCTGGTTTTCCTTGTCAACCCCCACATAAATCCCATAAAAAACAAACATATTTTTTTCTCTTCAAAGGAGGTACTAACATTGCATCAGTTGCTAAAATTTCTCAAGTAATTCCAAGCAAAGGCTTGAATTAATATTAGTGCAGAAAAAGATCAGGGTCCCCGAATAGCCAGAAAATCCATGGAAAACACTTCCAATAATTTCCCTCATCAGATAAGATGAAACCAAGCATCCTTCATGAGCCTGAATTTATTATGTAGTTTCTCCCTACCTCTTTAATATTATTATTTCTGAAGTTATCATTATCTGTTTCCATAAGTGCCTAGTTGTACATTCTGAAGCCAACCAAAACTTTGCTGGGCCCCAACTTGACATAGCTGTGTATTCTCAAGTGCTGTTGTCTCTCTTCAGAAAAGCTCCTCTTCTCTGTTTAACTTGTACATAAAATCTTACATTTCAAAACAATCTCCACCATCCCTTTCTTTCTAAATCTTCTCTTTTACCTGCCGCACCCCAACCGTTGGATTAAGCTCCACTTTTTTTATGATTTTATGACATACAGGACCTATTTTGTTGTAGTTCTCATCTTTTCAATAACTTATATATTACTTCCTTAATACACACCAGATGGTATCTTAGCTACGGGAAATGTATGATGAAAACAACAAATGGATGTCTGCCATTATAAACCTTATGCTATGTTTCAAACCAGTCCCAGTAAGCAGATAAAGTCAGGAAAAACTGTTGAGAAGCAGTGTAATTCTATAAAATTTATAAAGGAGAGTGAATGCAAGATTTGGAAGAGGGAAGACTATAAGAAATCTAATTTACATTGAATATGGGACAGGTTTACAAGAGGTATAGACCTTTACATTTTTATTGATACTTTAATATTATACATAATATTGGGATTCATTGTGACATGTTAATAGATGCACATAACATAATTTGGTCTACTTCAGTCCCCAGTGCCTCCCTTTTCCTTCCCCCTCACTCCCCCCAATACCCTTGCTGTGCTCTATTGCTGTCCTGTAAGAGCTGACATTTCACCTACTTCCTGAAGTGTAAGTGGGAGTCATCAGTAAAGGGGATCATTTTGGGAGATCACTTCAGAGGGGACCACATAAACATAAGCCCTAAAAAAGAATGATATGGATGATTTAGAGGTAGGCAAAGAATATAACTTTAAATTTTTTTTCAATTGAAAATTTTAAAAGATATGTGTATTCATTTGTGTATGACGTGAAGTTTTAATCTAAGTATGTAATGGATAAATTAATGCAATTAGCGTATGAAGTAAATCATATTTTTTTTACATGTGATAAAAACACCTGAAATCTACACTTAGCAATTTACAAGTAAGCAGTATGGCATTATTAGCTGTAGTCACCATGATGCAAAATCATTTTCTTTAACATATTATTGCCATCTAACAAAAATTTTCTACATTTTGACCAACTTCTCTGCAAATCACCCAAACTCTATCCCTACCCACAGCCCTCCAGTAACCATTACTATTATTTGTGTTTCTATTATTTAAATTTTTAAAATTCTACATACATATGTTAGATCATGTGAATTTTTTTTTCTGAACCTGGCTTATTTTGCTTAATATAGTGTTCTCTGGGTTCATCCGTGTTGCCATAAATAGCAGGATTTCCTTCTTTTATAGCAGATGAATAGTATTGTATTATGTGTATATATATCGTATTTAATCTATTAATCCATTGATAGACATAAAAATTGATTTCACCACTTAGCTATTGTGAAAAGTGTTGCACTGAATATGAAACTACAGCTATCTCTTTAACATACTGACGTCATATCTTTTGGATACATACTCAAAAGAATAATTGCTGGATCCTTTGATAATTTTATTTTTACTTGATTTAAGAACATCCATACTGCTTTCCATATTCATTATATTAATTTATATTCCCATCAATAATAAGTAATTATTTCCTTTTCTTCACAATCTCTCTGTGTTAGTCTATTTTGTACTGTTACACCAAAGTAATTCAGGCAGGCTAACTGGATAAAGAAAATATTGCTTTAGAAGTTCAAAGGCATGGTACTGCCATCAGCTCAGCTTTGAAGAGAAGCTTCCTGGTTGCATCAGATCATGGCAATGACAATGATAGGTACACCTCTGGGAGGAAGAAATAACATCTACAAACAGGAAGCAGAGGGAAAGTGGGATCCCAAGACCCCCTCTGAGAGCACTCCCTCAAATCACCTAAGTATGTCTCACTAGGCCCCACCTCTTAAAGGATCCACAGCACCTCCTAATACCAGCATCCTGAGGACCAAGCTTAAGATGAACTCCTGGAAGATGCTCAAACCATATCTCAACTATAGCACTCCTCAACACATGTCTTTCATTTTTTATAATAGTCTTTCTAAAAGGTATGAGATTCACACCTGAATTTCCCCGATGATTGCTGTTATGTATTTATTTATTTATTTTAAAATACATGTTTGCCATTTTTATGTCATCTTTTGAGAAGTATCTTTTCAGGTCATTTTTTCATTTTTAATATGCTTGTTTCCTTACTATTGAGCTCTTTGAGTCTCTCTCTCTCTCTCTCTCTCTCTCTCTCTCTCTCTCTCTATATATATATATATATATATATATATATATAGTGTTCTAAATAAATATATGTGTGTGTGTGTGTGTTTAAAATTTTCTAAGTAGATTACACTATTCTTTCCCTAAAGAAAATAGTAGTCACTAATATTGTCAAGAGTAAAGCAAAGGTAATTATCCTAAAGATACACTGTTTAGAATAGAACCTGATGTTACAGAATACATAGGGGTAGCTTTTATATTTATATTTTTCCATCTCTTTGATTTGGTTTTACTTTCACCTTGGGTATCTTTTTTACTTTCAGCATGGGGTGTCTTTTTTGGTTTTCTGATCTTTACATATTGAAGATATTTTTCTATCCTTACCCTGAAAAATCCAAGGATTTCAGACAACAGCAAGAGAAAGAAACCAATAAAAGGATGAAGGGCACATGCTCTTTCTTGGACAGGTCCTCTCATCTCTCCTGCAGGTCCACTGTGGACACTTCCTAAAAATGCCTGCTCCCCATAGAAAGGAGGACACAGTCAATAGAACAGTGGCAGTTTTTTTTCTTATTGCAAATGCCTTGGCAGTTGCCCTTCTCAGGCTGACTGTTAATTTAGAGCTCTGACTTCAACTCATCCCCAACACATATCAAGTCTACTACAAGAAGCACCGCTCCCCACATGCCCAAATCTGGAAATCCACAGGCTGTCAAGGACTCATAATACTCTGCCCCAGCACAGAACAGTTTTCTGCTTTCCAGTAACATGACCAGGCATGTCAGGATTGACCTAGACATTGACACACTACATACTTCCATCTAAAGTATTTTCAGTTTTACTCATAGGAATGCAATACCGCATGATTTCAATGAACATTCAGGTAGTGGAACA